TTCTGATCATTATACTTTCAACTTTGTTATCAAAATGTCTATTTTGTTTATGTAATTTAAACTTTGGTTCATTTTAGTCCATGTATCTTCAAAACATGTGCAAGATTTTATACCCAAAGAAAACTATTTAACACAAATTTATGACTATATAGAGATAAATTAGATGAAAACAAAAATTAACCAAAATAATCACTTTTTTTAAGTACAAGAATCAAAACGGATGTTTAAAAAATATAGAGGCTAAAATGAAAAAAAGTTCAAAATATAAAAACTAAAAGTGGACATTTCAAAACAATAGAGACCAAAAAATGAACCGAAATAGTAAGTACAGAGACCAAAAGAATATTTAAACCTAAAAAAACATCCAATCTTTTCTCTTTATTTGTATATCTATGCAATTATGTTGGATATCGTTGTTTCAATGTTAATGAATAATAGTTGTTACATTTAAAACCAATAGTTCCCCACCAAAATATTTAAAAATTTTCTAGTGACTACGACCCTTTATCAAGATGCATTAAATTGAAGATGCTAAATGTTAATTTTTGTGAATCAAATGAAAATGACAAAGGTCCTGGCCAATGGGCATTCTTCTTCATATTTTGTCATCAACTCCACAAACACAATAAAACATTACCATTTTTCTTTGTCATAATGATGAAAATAGCTTGAATAAGAACTAAAGACAAGAGGATTTTTATTTTGGATTATGCTTTAATTATCACACAATAAAATTATATTTTGGGATTTTGAAAACAATATAAAGAAAATAATCGGTGGCATTAGGGAGTGTCGCTTACCAAATGGTCATATTGTCTAAGTTAATAAATTGGGTTCATGGCCCTCAACTCATAGGAATTATTGAACTCAATGTTTTTTTCTTTTAATAAAAGATCTGAACATTTTATAAATGTTAAAATTTTCAAATTTGTGGCCAAATCCAAATTGTCTTCTAATCATTAAAAAGAAAGAAAGACGTAAAACAAAAAACTTGTCTCGTAATTGAAGTATCAAAATATACTTATTTGTACATTTGTTAAAAAACAAGCTGAGTGTTTATTTTGTTGTGTCTTATCAGTGTTATTGTATTATGGATAAAACTTGGCTCCCTACTAGTGAGGAGCAACCTTGTCCTTCCTATCATTAAATATTTGACCATTAAGAAAGAGAAATGCAAAAACAAAAATTTATTTTAAAATATAATGAGTTGTCAAATATTCAATGATGGTAAAGATAAGGTTGCTCAAGTACCTTTTTGTCGAGAGTTCTTTCTATGAGTTTTAGCTTGAATATCAACATCAAGAGATCTTGCTTGAGAATCAAGAGGAAAAATATGAGTAAAAAAGCCGTTCATATCAATTTTAGGCATATATCAACATCTGGTGGAATATATCTTTGATAGTAGTCAATAATTCTAAATGGTATTGAATAACTTTCAATTACTTTGACCGACACGAGCATAATTCAACTAATCAATGTATTATTGTACTTTCCTAGAGACAAATGTTCTAATTCTATACCCATTATTCAACTCAAAAAGAAAAATCAATCAATTTAAAATTAATAGAATAGATAAGTTATTTTCCTTTTTTTTCCTATATATACTTTTTACTTCAACCAGTGTGGGGTTGGAATTTTAACCTAGATGGAAAAGAAGTTACATACTTTTGATGCTGAATTATATTCATGTTGGTTTTTTTGATAACCTCAATTTTACGTTTTTTTTTCTTTAAAAAAGATGAATAATAGATTGAA